AGGGACACAGCCACATCAGTGTTTATAGCAGCACAATTCACAATAGCTAAACTGTGGAACCAACCTAGATGCCCTTCAATAGATGTATGGTTTAAAAAATGTGGCATGTATACACAATGGGGCACTACCATTCTACTAATGAGAGGAGTTAGTGTCAGACTCCACAGATTTGAAGGCTCAGTCCCATGAGACTCCCTCACTTCAGACCATTCACAAGTCTCAGGCTGACCCTGTGGTTGATCGGCTGGTAATAAACTAGGGGTTTCCATGACCCCCTCTTCAAGCTTGATAATTTTCTGAAACAGCTCACGGAACTCAAGGAAACCCTTTACTTTTGCATACTGGTTTATTAGAAAGCTTATGACTCAGGAACAGCCAGAAGAGATGCACTGGACAGGTAWGCGGGACCTTCCCAGGCATACCTTCTTGGCCCCTCATTGTGTTCCCCAAGCTAGGACTGTTGTTCAGGGATTTTTATGAAGGAGTTGAAAATCTGACCCTCTCATCACTCCTTGGTCTCTCTGGGGATCAGTTCCCATCCTGAAGGTTTCCACAGGTCCCAGCCACAAATCCTGTCCCTAGATGCAAAAGGCACTCTTACCACTCCAGGGATTCCAGGGGTTTTAGGAGCTGTGTGCCTGCAACTGTAGATAAAGGCCAAACATTATTTCCTGTTATGCCACAACTACCTACTAATTCCATTTGGGAAAAGGTAAAACTTAAGGGACAGAAATCAGGTCAATAGCTGACAAGGATTAGGGGTGAGGGGCAGGCTTGACCAGTTACCCAGGTCAATGCTCTTTCTCTAGCAGCATTTCCAAAAGAAAGGAGCCAAGTATTGGGGGGTCTTTGAAATGTTCTAAACTGGGGTTGTACTTATTTGAATAAACATTTTTGTCAAAACTCATCAAACTGCGTCCTTAAAAAAATGGAACGGTAGGGCTGGATATGTGCTTGTCTACCATATGCAAGGCCCTGGGTTCAATTCCCCGCACCCCTAGAAATGATGATGAGGTGTTCAGCCATATGTAAARTATCCCTTAATCCATCTGACTTCAAATAAAAGCAATTTCCTTCCCCCATCGTCTGCAAATCCCCAGTCCTCAGAGGATGTGATGTTTATTTTGGACTGCTACGAAGGATGAAATAGAGTTTCCTCAATAAACACCTGGCTGTTTCCACAAAGGTGTCTGCTGTCCACGTTAAGCGTCACTGGGTGAACATGGTTCAGTAGAATGTTTTCCAGGATCTTTGGCTCCTCTGACTATCCGTGGTTTCAGCCGGGACGCTTCTCCCCAGGGCCTCTCTACTCTATGTTATTCTGTAGGGACTCCTTTGGCCTCCCCCTCTGGATCTTGCTTTTTCTGATTCTCCTCTGCTTTCTCTTCTTTGGCCACAAGTCGATAATTGATGCCCATACCAATGAARAGAAAGACACTGGCAATCATCAGGATCACACCACATGACCAGTAGGTGTATTTGTAGTCTCCGTATATGTCATTGAGACGACCTAAAGATGTAAAAAAAACAAAGTAATGTGGGTAAAGTAAACKGGGATACCCTTTCCCAAAGTATAAGGATCCACTCAGAAAGAAGATGTTGATCCAGTCTTCAAAGCCCCCAAATGCCCAATGGGTACCAAAAGGAGTTGCTAAAAATAACCTTATCTTCTATTTATGTCATTTTTTTCACTGATTTTGGGTGCCCTTGCATATTCTGTTATTTTTAGAAACCTGGAAAATCATCAATTCTTGGCAGATTCGAATTGTAGATTACCTACAATCAATCCCCTCAGTATGTAATGCTCAGAAGAGGTCTGGGACTCTTGTCCGGGGACACACAGCTATTCCAGTTACCAGAGGCCCATGCTCTTTCTCTAGCAGCATTTCCAAAGATCACGACAGGCACATTCCACGGTCATCGTCATTGTAGAGATACAACTGAAGTACAGAGACATAGGTAACCTGTCCAAGGTCACAAAGCTAGTAAACRAAACCGTTTGGCTTTCACCTGGGATTTCTGACTCCTGGATCTATACCTGTAACTATTGTGCAACGGGGAGCCCAATGTTTCAAAGGTCAAAAATTTGGGGTGACGTATCACTTCCTTTTATCTTTAAGGCTCTGTCAAGTCTGGTAGTAAAGAGATCCGTTGAACTTGGCGTGTCTAAACCTCCCGTTATGGTGACAGTTTATCAGTACCTCTAGAAATAAACTCTGGAAAGCCCTACTCTGCACTTAATAGAACCAATTCAAATGTGACCCCCATATGGCTTCCTGACTCAGGGCGTCGCTCATTCAGCAACTGTCACTGAGCCTCCATCACTGCCCAGACACTGGCTTCACTCAGGGCTGCCGATGAGGGTGAGCAAGGGCCTTACCACCCACAGCTGAATGGAGAGGAGATGTTGTTCAGATAATCACACAGACGTGACAAGCGCTACAGGGAGGGTTATGGAAGTAGAAAATGGAGGACTGGAACTGGCAGGTAGGGAGAGGAAGTCTTCCTCCCTTGAGTCCACTGAGCTGAGACTTGCAGGAGGACAGAGATCCTCAGGAGTAGGGGGTAAGGAGAGGATCCAGGCAGAACAGCAAGTGCAAAGGCACAGGGGTAGGAAGAAGGAAGCACGGCATGTGAGCCGGGATGAAGGGCTGGGCTACTGGAGCAGAGAGCAAAGGGCTGGTGCTAAGAAATGAGGTGGAGAGTCAGGTGAGGCCAGGCCAGGCCAGGCAGAGCCTTGTAAGTCACATCAGGAAATTTTATCCTCACCCTAAGAGTGGTGGGAAGCCACGGAAGAGGTGTAAGAGACTTCAGGACAGCTGGCGCAGGTACAGGAGGACCAGTTACGAGGTCACCATTAGGGTCAAGCCAGAACAGGAAACAGGTGTTTAGGTAAGGGTGGTAGTAGTGATGGAGAAAAATGGGCAGATTAGGAAGGTTTTGGAGGTAAAAACTGATAGGATTCGTGAAGCTCACTGAGTAGAGAGAAAAGTAACCGAGGGGAAGTTTTGAAGTCAGCAGTTGGCCTCTGTGTGGGGATCCCTCCTTGCTCCTTCATGCATAATCTCAAAAGCATGAATCAGTCCAGAGGAGAACCAAATTATTCTTGTATTTAGTATTAAGTAATAATTTCTAAATGTAAAGAATTTGCTCTTCTTATGGAATAATCTATTAAGTTTTGTAGCCCTTTGCTGAATGCGAGATCTCGGACAGATTATTTCATTTTTAGAAGCCCATATTTCTTCACTTGTAAAGTGGGACAGTAACAGTTCTACCTCATAGACTTGTGAAATATGACAGGGCATATAAAGTGACGAAAACAGTCTGGTACACTGTGAACCCTCGCCTGATACCTATTATTATTATTTTGAATAGCAGGACTGAGAGAAATGTCATGATTAAAATGAAAATGCTATTAGTATTTTCAGGGTGGAAAGGTACATTACTCATTTTTCTACAATAAGCGTGTTCATTTTGTGACCAGAAATACTTTTAAAAATACTGAAGTTTGTAATAGTTTTTTTTTTTTAATTCTCCTTTCAGCTTGATGGTTCAATTTACTTTGATTTGGTAAGTATTTGAGCAATCACCTGTGTCAAGTAATGTGCCAGCACTCAGGGTACAGAGGTGAGAAAGGCTTGCTCTGTGCTACCAAACAGCTCACTAATCTCTGCTGCTTTTTTTTTTTTTAATATTTATTTTTTAGGTGTAGATGGACACAACCCAATGCCTTTATTTTTATGTGGTGCTGAGGATCGAACCCGGGTCCCGCCCGTGCTAGGTGAGCGCTCTGGCCACTGAGCCACAATCCCAGCCCCTAATCTCTGCTTTCTATCACGGTCCCAATCCTGTTTTATGATAGCGGGATCATAGAGGTAGGGAAACATATTGTACCTAACAGTGGTGGCCCCAGGAGGACAGGACAGCATTCCACAATGGTCACCAATCCCATGGCRCTGGAGAACTTCTGCGGTCCCACGAGGTCCATCAGTGTTTCAAACAAGACAGAGCTGAGCCACCCAAAGGCAAATCCTAAGCATCCCGCATAGACACAGAACCCAACGTAGCTGGTAGAAAAAGGCAGTACCATATGACACACTCCATTTGCAAAAATCGMAGCAGCAAAGAAATACTGGATTCGTGGTCTTATCCACTTGGTGTTGGCTAKCAGTCCCATGGAAGGTCTGGCTATGATATCGACCAAAGACAAAATGGAGAGAAGGAAGGCAGGCTTCTCACTAGCAGAGTGTCGACTCTTGGCGTAACTACTAAGAAAGACTAACGGGGCAGCCAGTCCAAAGACCATCATCACGTTTSCAGAGAGGTACAGAACGAAGCCTCTGTGGGTGAAGAGGGACAGGTTCAGGAATTGGTTAACTCCTGGGAAGACGGATCTTTTCTCCTCTTTATCGTTCCCACCATTACATTTTCCATTGGCATCACCTGCAACCTTGTTGGCATTAGATTTTCCAGCTTCTGGAAGGGATTCTTTACACTCCACTGTCTCTGCCTGTGTTGGCTTGGGCCCTAGGGGTCGCATCAGGGCTCCAGCCACACAGCAGTTTAGCAGGAGGCCCCCAAGAATCAGGAAGCTTCCTTTACAACCAAAGCTATCAAAGAGAGTCTGATTGAGGGAGGCCAGGACTGCGAGGAGCACAGGGCTGCCAGCCATGGTGAGTCCGTTGGCCAAGGGTCGCTTCTTATAGAAATACGTGCCAATCATGGTCAGAGCTGGATTCAGGTTGAAAGCAAATCCAAGACCTGGAGGGAGGGGGAAAATGACAGCATTACATACTATAATTAACGTCAGAAACACTTGTTATTAATTAACTCGACAAAGAAATTGAACGAAAAGGACAAAAATTGCCATCATTCTGAGAGAGGCTATTATAATTAATGGATCATGAGGTCCACTGTTGTCAAATAAATATAGACCAAAGTGTCTCTATGTAGCAAATACCAGAGTTATAACATTAAAATTATTATTACTTTTATTCTAGCAACCGAAAGAATACTAAAAAAATCCCGGGGCTGGGGTTGTGGCTCAGTGGTAGAGCACTCGCCTAGCACTCGTGAGGCACGGGGTTCGATCCTCAGCACCACATTAAAAAAAAAATAAAGGTACTGTGTCCACCTACAACTAAAAAATAAATATTAAAAAAAATAAATGTAGGATCTGTACTTAGCTTCATAATATTAGCTTTCTTGAGGAACAGGGAATTGAAAACAAAAAGGAAAAAAATAAATATTATGAGTTCAGAAAGTAAGACAGTAAAAGAAAATATTTTTGGATAGTAAAAAATACAACACTGTCAGAAATGCCAGTACTACCACAATAAATTCATTAACTGAAGGCAATCTCTATGAAAATGGCCATGTATTTTATTTTTCAAATGAGGTAAAATGCCCATGAAATATTCCTGGAGAATGAATACATCATAAATATTTGAAAAAGATAAGTAATTTGGGGGACCAATGTAAAAAGAATGAATATGTTACACAGTTATAATAATTAGAACAGTGATGTGAGGGGAAAGGGAAAAAAAACAAGGGATAGTATTGAATTACAGTAGATGGGGTAGAGAGAGAAGATGGGAGGGGAGGGGAGGGGGGATAGTAGAGGATAGGAAAGGCAGCAGAATACAACAGTCACTA